GTGTGCAGGTATGCATGCATGTGATATGGAGGCCAGAGGGAAACATTGGCTATTCTTCAGGAACACCGCCTATCCTTTTTCTTTCTTTTCCTTTTTCTTTTTTAAAAAAATATTTTATTTCTGGTAGTTAAGTGTTCTAATACCAAAGTCTGCATATTTAAGGCTCTCGGAGCCCCTGGAACTGGAGTTATGGACAATTGTTAGCTGCCATGTGGGTGCTGGGATTCACACCCGGGTCTTCTGCAAGAACAGTCAGTGTTATTAACTGCTGAGCCATCTCTTCAGCCCCTATTTATTATTTTTATTTTATGTGTATTACCTGCATGTAGGTAAGTGCACCCATGTCATGCAATGCCCGCAGAGGACAGAAGAGGCTGTTGGACCCCTGCAACTGGAGTTACGGACAGTTGTCAGCTGCTATTTGGGTGTGGGATTCGAACCCGGGTCTTCTGCAAGAACAGTGTTCTTAACCGCTGAGCCATCTCTCCAGCCTCTCTTTTCTTTTGAGTCTCACACTGGCCTGAAGTCCGCCAATTAAGTGAGTCTGGCTGACCAACAAGGCCCAATGATTCTCCTGCCTCTGTCTGCCTCCCCAACACTAAGATTATAACCACAGGTCTCCATGCCTGACTTTTTATGTGGGATCTAGGGATGAAACTCAGGGCCTCATGTTTACTAGGCAAACACTTTACTGATGGAACCCATCCTACAAGCCATTTTTAATTTTTACAGGAAACTTAAAGTCAAAGGGATTAAAGGACCCACCCCTATTATTCAGCAGTAAGTAATGTGGCCACAACTCATCTCAAAGTTATTCTTTTAATCCCTGTGCCCTCCACTGAATACATATACCTAGGCTCTGGAAGCCTGGAGAAAATGCAAGTCGAGCAAGGTGACTTAGCTACCAGTAGATGGAGCTATGGCGCCACAAAAGTCAGCTGGGCAATTTCCGTATACACCAGGCCTGGTGTAGACAGGCTCACCAGCCTAGGGACCAGGTTCCTCAGCAAGAGAGAATCATTCAACCTAACTGTGTCTCTGTGGAGCACTATGAGAGCCCAAGGAAGTTGTCAGGGGCCTAGAAGCAATACAGCCTAAGAGGCAGGACTGGGGCTTCCTGACCCCAAATTCCCCCATTGAGATCTCCAACCTCCCACCCCCATCCATGCCACCCACCTTCCCCAGCACCCAGCTTCACAAGGCACAGCTACTTGCTGGAGTTTAGGGGAGATTGCCATGTCCTGTCCTTGCCCTCGTGGATGGACACTCACATGAAGTTGAAGACACTTGCTTTGAAGTTTGGCCCTAGATTGGGGTGGCTTCACATGATCTCTTCCCATTTCACTGCCAGACCCCAGTCCACCAAACACTCCTGTCCAGTTGTCCCCAAAGCACTAAGAAGTCTAGGTCCCTCACACTTCTGACATAGACATTAGCCCCCAGCATCCAGATAAAAGGTCTTGGGTGAGAACGTGGAAGGCCAGCAGATAGGATTTGGGCTTGCTTCTGGGCCTTGGCTCTGAGTGACTGTGTACCCCATGACTGTGATTCTGGGTGGACTGTGGAGAGGCCAGAAGGGAGGCCAGGAGGGTGTGGGAGGACAACATTGCCTGCTAAGGTGACAAGAAAGGGACTTTACATATGACTGGACCTCTCCCTTACTTTCTGAGGCATGCCAACCTGCTCTGTACTGATCAAGCAGGCACCAGCCCCAATTTGCATGCCTTCAGTGATGTGCAGCTCACTCCCTAATGAGGTGTCTCTCCCGAACATCTCCCATGGTTCAAGCTGACAGGAAATCATTCCAAAGACCTGTCCAAGGGCTGGGTTTCTTCACAGCCACCAACCCAATCCCAAGTCAGCCGCATAGTCAGCCAGGTCAGGGATATAAAGATGGATGTACCATGATCCCAACAACACCACTCACAGGATGCTAAACCCAACCTCCCCATTTCCCCATCCTACCCTAGCATGGGTCAGCAGGAGAAAGCCTGATCCACAGCAAGCTGGTAGAGGGTACAAGGTGCTAGTGGTGGGTGTGGCATCAATAAACTTCAGGGAGGAGCCAGGTGCCGTGTGCAAAATGCTGCCCACTCTTGCCCTGAGTGCGTGCCTGAGTCATCAGGATGTTTGGTTGCAGGAAGAGCAACACTGAGCTTATGCTGGTATCAGGCCACAAACTCCATATAACCTGGAGTCCATCTGTCTGTCTGACTGTAAGTAGCCACACTTCCCTTGCCACACCTTGCTATTGTAGGGTTCAGAATCAAGCCTAAGTTTGAAAGAAATTGGAGCCCTAGGGGGTAGAGAGATGACTCAGTGGTTGAGCGGTTACTGCTCTTGCAGAGGACCGGAGTTCGGTTCCCAGCCCACATCAGACTACTCACAACCACCTGTAACTCCAGCTTCAGGGGATCTGATGCCCTCTTTGTGGCCTCCATGGGTATTGCATTCATATATACATGGGTGCAAGTGCGACACACACAAATACACACAATCTTTAAAAAAAAAAGTAAAGAAATTGAGACTCGACAAATAGCTGACTCAGTAGAAAAAAATATGCCAGTTCTGGAACTAGTGTTCCAGAAAGTTCTAGAACAATCTATCCTAGCCCTCTTACTCATGAATTCATTTCTGCCATAACCTCAGTGATTTCCATTCCATCTTCATGAGTTGTGCTTCTCAGTGTATTTATTTTTTCCTGATATCAGCTTGTGGGCATACATTTATTTTTGGAATGGTGGGGATCAAAGTCACTATCAAATACATGTTAGGCACATATTCTATCACTGATGTGTGTGCCAAGCCCTACATTCAAACTTATTTTGAGACAGGCCTTTATGTTCAGCCTGGGGGGCAAGAGAGAGAGAGAGAGAGAGAGAGAGAGAGAGAGAGAGAGACAGAGAGACAGAGAGACAGAGAGACAGAGAGAAAATCTAGCTCAGTGGTAGAGCCGGTACCTAGAAGCCCCAGTGAAGGGCTGAGGGTGTGGCTCAGTGGTAGAGCACCTGCCTAGACTCCCCCAGTGAGGGGCTGTGGGTGTGACTCAGTGGTAGAGCACCTGCCTAGTATTCCCTAGAGAGGGGCTAGGGGCGAGGCTCAGTGGTAGAGCACCTGCCTAGAATCCCCCAGGGTGGGGCTGAGAGTGGTAGATCACTTACCTGCTTAGGATGTAGGGGCTCTGGGTTCTGTTTCCTGTACCACCCAAAATATTTAGATGTAGTCTCCCCCAAGGTTGCTATGGAGACAATGCGATGGGAAGCCCCACATCATAGGGGCTCTGGGTTCCATTTCCTGTACCACCCAAAATATTTAGAGACCGTAGTCTCCCCCCAAGGTTGCTATGGAGGCAGTGTGATGGGAAGCCCCACATCAGGCAAGATCTCTCCCCATTCTATCGTGTTGTCCTGCTCTCCTGAGGGGCCCCTCCCTCTTGTGGTCAGTAGAGGCTCCCAGAGAGATTCCTGCCTGCCCAGCCGACTCCAAGCCCCTGGGGTCCATCCTGGAAAGACCTTCAAAGGCCTTGACCATTCTTGAGTGGGCGCCAAGATGGAATCCGCTCTCAAAGACAATTTAGCCAGCCACATGGATGGAAAGAATGTCCTGATTCTCCTAACAGAGACCCCCTCTTGATTTATACGTGGGGGCCACTGTCCGAAGGTCCCGGGCAGATGGATCTCCAGTGGAAAATAAGAGGCCGAGAGCCAGGCGTCTGGCTGGGCTAATTGCCCTCAATGAGACACAGCTGGCTGGGGGAGCCGTCTGCGGCCAAGGGCAGGGCCAACTCCTTGCCCCCAGCTCCCTGGGGACCCAAAGGCCTGTCTGGGCTTGCTGCCCATAACCTACCAGGTCTGGTCAGGGGTCACCAAACATTCCAGGAGATCCAGTTTGGTCAGTTTATCAGACTTTCATTTGCTGCTATCATGGAAAGTGGTGGTCCCTAAGAGGCCAAGGGGTACATGGGCCAATTCTACTTTTGGGGAGACTGAGGACTAGCGAGGCAGGTAGGCTAGAGAACCCCAAGCTGGACTCTGAAACTGACTGCAGTTCTAGCCTTGGCCACACGAGGCGCAAAAACTCTAGCGCTGCTTCCATAGGACTTGGGGTTGTGGGGGTCGCTGGGCCTTCTTGGAGTTGAGCAGACTTTTTCCGAGAGTCTACCGCACTCGAGGCCCAGTGCCGGGGACTTGTGCTAGGGGTACTACAGTGGGAAAAACCCCATGTGAATCTCATTCTTGGGGGCATACAGATTTGTCTTACAGCCCTCCAAACAAAAAGTATCTAGCGAAGTGACTAGTGGGCTAGCGAGACAGCTCAATGGATAAAGGAGCTTGCCACCAAGGCTGAAATCCTGGGTCCATCTCTGGGCCCGACATGGTGGAAGGACAGAACCAACTCCTGCAAGTGATCCTCAGACCATGCCCCCAGCCCCTCACTGGGAGATTCTAGGCAGGGGCTCTTCCATTGAACTACACCCAGCCCCTCCCTCTTCACTGGGGGATTCTAGGCAGGGGCTCTTCTACTGAGCCACATCCCTAGCTATGATTTTAGTGTTTATTTTGAGATAGGGTCTTAGTAAGTTGCTTCAGCTGACCCTGAACTCTTCAGTTTTCACTGGTTTTATTGATCACCATTGCACCCTGGGCCAGCAGGAGCTTGGTGAATGGATGAGGGAAGAGTGAGAAATGGGAAGCATAGTGCCTTCATCCCTGCTCCCTCTACATTGGCTGTCCTGTGTCCATGGTGAGCTGGAAGCTTGCAGGTGGCAGGCCCAGCCATTGGGAGGCAGAACCTCACCAAGCAGGAGCCAGAGTTGAACTGGGGTGCCCACTCCCTGTAGTCTTGCCGCTTCCTGATTCTGCCAGACACAAACAGGTCTGGCAAGTCTTCAGCAGCATAGACAGGACTCAGCTCATGACTTCCAGGAAAGCCAGAGCCTTAGAGAGCAAGAGGGAGGGCTGTGGTGGAGGGAGGAATCTTCTAGAAGTCTCAGCCTCTTTGTGGTGAGCTGCTCACTTGTATTCCAGGCCAAGAGCTGCAGGCTGATGGGTGAACCTCCTTCCCACCTCTCCTGAAGGTCAAGAGGCTCCAGGGGCTTCTTAATTCTCTCTGTCTCTCTCTGTCTCTGTCTCTGTCTCTGTCTCTTTCTCTCTCTCTCTTTTCCCCCTTTCTTTTTTATTGTTTTGTTTATTGGAAGCAAGGTCTTGCTATGTAGCCCAGGTTGGCCTGGAACTTGAAATCCTCTTTATTCTACCTCCCAAGTGCAGAGATTACAAGCACGCACTACCATGCCTGGTTTCCTCCCTCTATCTCTCCCTCCCTCCTTCCCTTCCTTCTTCCCTCCCTTCACACCCCACGCCCTGCCTCCGTCTTCTCTCCCTTCCTCTTTCCCTTCCTGTGGAGGTGTAACATATACAGGAAAGTGGGTGCATTGTCATGCTGTGCCTTCATGATTCTTCACATGTATTTATTCTGATTCAGGATGGGGAGTGACTGCTAAAGTGTTGGAGATTAGGATGACCTGCCTTTGAACGAGTGGAACCTGGAGATCAACCATAACCTCTGCTTATGGGTAAGACCCTGAACACAGAAGTCTCAGAACCCTGACATGTGGAACGGCTGCATGATTGGTAGAGGAAGTTGGCCAGATCAGAAAGGTTTACTGTGTTCTTCATTCTAAGAAAGGCATCTTAACTTCCCTGTCCTGAGAAAGTAAACATCTTGATCAATAAATCACCAGATGCATACAATAACCCTGAGTAAGATCTAAACATCCTGCTTTGTAACAGCCTTAACTTACACCAACTAAAAGTTACTGTTCCTGTTTTTCGTCTAAATATGCTCTGATACTTTGTATGCAACTGCAAAAGCCATACGTAAAGGCTAGTTCCTTCTCTGTATAAAAGCTTGTTGGACTTTTAAAAATGTTTGAGGGCTGGTGAGATGGGCTCATTAGGCAAAGGTGCTTGTAGTCAACCCTAATGACCTAAGCTCCATCCCTAAAACCCATATGGTGGAAAGAGAAAACAGATTCCTGAAAGTTGTCCTCTGACCTACACACACACACACACACACACACACACACACACACACTGTGGCATGCATAAGCTCTTATAAAGGTGCACAATAAAATGTAATTTTAAGTTGTTTGTGTATGTGTGTGTGTGTGTGATCAAACCCAGGACCTCCTGCATATTCTGCATGTGCTCTATTACTGGGTACGTCCCAGCCCCTAAAGGATTTAAAAAGGCATACTGAAGAGCCACGCGTGGAGAGGTAGGCCTGCAAATCAAGCAACACAGTAGGCTAAGTCAGGAGGATTTTAAATTCAGATTCTAAGTAAGCCTAGACCACACAGTGAATTCAAGGCTGCCATGGCAACTTAGTGAAATCCTGTCCCAAAATAAAAAGAAAGTGAAAGTACTGGAGAGCTGGCTCAGCAGTTAAGAGCACTGACTACTTTTACAGAGGACCTGGATTTGATTCCCAGCACCCACATGGTAGCTAACAACCGTCTGTAACTCCAGTTCCAGAAGAATTCAATGCCCTCTTCTGACCTCTGTGGGCATTGCACAACATACATGCAGGCAATACACTCATACACAAAAATTTAAAAATAAGTTAATTTTTAAAAATAAATAAAAGTATAAAGAGGGCTGGGGATGTGGCTCACAGGTAGAACAGCTGCCTAGAATCTCCCAGTGAGGGGCTGGGGTGTGGCTCACAGGTAGAACAGCTGCCTAGAATCTCCCAGTGAGGGGCTGGGATGTGGCTCACAGGTAGAACAGCTGCCTAGAATCTCCCAGTGAGGGGCTGGGGTGTGGCTCAGCAGTATAGCACTTGCCTAACATGCATAAAACCCTGGTTTCCAGCCCCAGCATAGCAAAAATAAATAAAATAAAATCCCACCATCATGAAATGGACTATTGGAAAGATGGTGGAGGCCACAGACAGTAGAGCTTGCTTAGAGATGATTCACTGGGATCTTGACCTCAGCCTCTTCCCTCTCTGTCTCTATTCCTAGTCACCATAAGGTAAATAGTTTTGTTAATGCTATCTTTCTTCCACCATGATGCTCTATCCAAAGTGATGGAGCTGCCAACTTGTGGCTAAAAATGACTGAGACCATCAGGTATTTGCTATAGTGGGAGAAAAATAAAGTAGGGGGCAGGTGAGATGGCTCAGCAGGTAAAGGAGCTTGCTGATAAGCCTGATGATCTAAGTTTGATACCCAGGACCCACGTGGTGGAAGACAATAACTGACTCCCAAAAGTTGTCCTCTGATCTGCACACGTGTGTCATGTCACATGCACATGCGTTCATACACACACATGGTGAGACCTTTGTGAAGATGTGTCCCCAGTATCTTCATCCATCTTGTGCCTGGTCTTTCCACATTTTCTGGGATTTCTTTTGGTGGGCAGAAGTTTTTAATTATAATGAAGTCCAATTTAGCTGTTTCTAGTTCATCTTTGATGCCATGTGTATTGCTGAAGAGCTCTGCCCACCCTTTAAACATCCCTGAATCCATCCATCTCTCCTCCTCCCCAGCTTCGCCTCTTCTCATCTGTTTCTACCAAGTTTCTGCCCCACCCTTCTCCAAAATCCAAGTCCTGTCCCAGCTTCAGCCCATCTGAGCATCCTTCTCCCTGCAGTCCACGTGGTGACCCTACTGTGTACGGAGAGCCCTGTCTCATCCTGGTGTCTCAGAGCTGCTAGGTGCTCAATAAAACCCCCATCAATAAAGACAATGTCCTGTGGTCCATCTGGTGGGCATTAAAACTGTCAATTATTTCTAAACACCAGCTCATCAGAAACAGTTGAACAGAGCCAGGAAACCTAAGTTTTGGAAAAACCAGCAAAGAGGAACGTTTCACTGTCTCCCCAAATGGAGTATTAATCACGCAAACATCACTCAGACTCACATCTTTGTGTGATTTATTCTCCCTTCTGTCCCCTGAATCCTGGGATAATAGAGGCTGTCCCTGCACACACCAGCAACAGGAGCCTGAACTGGTCCCCTACCCCAGCCAGTCTTCCATGACTCTAGATGTGGAGGAGACCTCATCTCCTAGTCCTTCTCCTCACCGTGCGTGATGACGTAGCACAGGTTCCTGTAGTCTAGGTTGCCATAAACATCTGGTGGGAAAGCTGCAAACATCTGCTTGACCTGGGGGAGGTAATGTAGAGGGTCAGGCTGAACCAGGGCTGGTGGGGGCAGAAGCAGAGAATCCATGGGAACTGCCTCCCAAAAGCCCATACCTACCTCCTCCTCACTGAACCGGTCGGCCTGAGTCATAAGCTTCTCTTTAATGCTGTTGATAGAGAAAAGTTACCATGTTTGGAAGGAAAGGGCTGCCTTGTGGTCATGTGGACACAGGCTCCTCGAGGCATCAGAAGTGGGGAGCTCTGGCCCAGGAGGACAACAGCCCTCAGCAGCAATTTGAGCTCCAGCTACCTCCCTGGCAACCTTTCCTTTCTACATCGGGGATTGCTAAATGGAATGATCTTGACACCCCAGCTCTAAGGGCTGATGAAATTCTCCTAATATATTAACAATCAAACTTGGGGGCTCCTTAGTCTTTTTTTTTTTCGATGCTGGGGATGGACTCCAGAGCCTAGGCCATGTTAGGCAAGTGCTCTACCACTGAGCTACACCCCCAGCCCCTCACTGGGGGATTCTAGGCAGGTGTTCTACCACTGAATCATACCTCCAGCCCCTCATTGGGGGATTCTAGGCATGTACTCTGCCAAGCTACATCCCCAACCTTCTTTCCTTCTATAGATATCACTAAGTTGCCCAGGCTGGTCTTGAACTCACTCTGTAGCCCAGCCTGGCCTCAAACCTGCTTGTTTCAGCTTCCCAAGTAGCTGGGGTGGCCTACCTGTCTCCCCTTCCCTCCATCTTGTCCTTCACTCCTGTTTCATTTTTTGACTTTCAATGCTCTGTTCAGCATTTCTCTGACTACAACATGCTGTTCAAGGCCAAGGCATCATGGGAAGACTTAGCTCAGGTCTGAGTCTCTTTAGACCTGGACTCCTCACAGACCTGGAACAGGAATACTAGGATCCCCTTTTACTAGGGAGAAATGAGGCTTGGGTATCCTCATGACTTGTCTGGCATTCTAGAGAAAGGCTGTGGCAGGGTGGAACCTGTCCCCTCCAGGTCCAGGGAAGCATTCTCTCATGGCCACTGGAACAGCCTGCCCTGGAGTCTGCATAAGAGGGACTTATAGGGATTAGGGAGGTCTGTGGGCAGGGATGGGATTGGAAAGCTGAGCCAGGCCTCTAGTCAGGGTATCATTTGGCACATGAGCATTCTCTCATGGCCACTGGAACAGCCTGCCCTGGAATCTGCATGGAGGGCTTATAGGGTTTAGAGAGGTCTATGGGCAGGGATGAGATTGGAAAGCTGAGTAGGGCCTCTACTCAGGGTGTCATCTGGCGCTGGTAGTGGCAGCCCCTGGCTAAGGCTGACACACATTTTCCATTGTTTGTGTTACCATGGGACAGTCACAGTTTCCATGTCCCCAAAGCTGGGGACTCTGCAAATACACTCTGTTTCAACCATAGCTGCTTCTGTGGTTTGTCTGGCCACATCTTCCAGGTTCCCATACAGAGCGGTACCTTCCATTTCCAAAATGAGTCCCTCAAGGATGGGTACCTGCCTCATCCTATCTTCATATTGGTGAGAGAAGAGTTGGTCCAGGCCATACCAGAAAGCTCTCCTGTACCTCCTTCAGTCCCCAAGATTCAGGTGGAAGCTATAGACTCCAGGGGTGGGGTTCTAGTTTAACACACCCTCTACACTCCAGGGACCCTGACTTACAACGTTCCATAGCAGTAAGATATAAGATGTTAACCAGGCATGGTGGCACTCAGGAGGCAGAGGCCGATAGAACTCTGTGAGATCAAGGCTAGCCTGGTCTACACAGAAAGTTCCAGGCCAGCTGGGGCTAAACAGGAACCCTGTCTCAAAACCCGCCCCCTCAAAAGGTATAAGATTTAAGCTGGTACACACACTTCCCTCTCTACCAGATCCTATTTGCCCTCTCCTCACCCCCATAGGCTGAAGCTCTGGTTGGCAGTAGATCCCTCAGAACCCAATCACCTGGAGCACAACTGTCATTGGTACCTCCAACCTGTTCTTGGTGGAGAAGGGACATCACACCAGCCAGGGCCACCCAAGGCCTAGTAGAATTTTGAAGGGACAGCTTGGGCACAGCTGGGAACTTGGCCAAGCTTCCACAGAACAAAACAAGTTGCCACTCTCTGACCTGGGCTCACTGACCCTTTTGCTCCCCGATGTGTGCACACCATAGGTCATCTCAGCAGAATCCACCTCTGTGATGTCAGCCCAAGGTCCTGCAGGACACTCGTGCCTCACCCCAGGCATCCCAAGTTGAACTGGACATGCCCATCTCTATGTGGCTCTGTCCTCTCCCCAAACCCTGGAGTCCCACTGGCTCTAGCCTCAGGATGTTTGCTGGTCAGTCCTTCCTTCCCTATCCTAAGATCCATGAGCCATAATCCTTTCCTCTTCCTCCCCCTTCTCTTTATTCTCCCCCGCGCCCCCGTTCCTGCCCCTCCTGCTCCTCCTGCTCCTGCTCCTCCTGCTTCTCCTGCTCCTGCTCCTCCTGCTCTTCCTGCTCCTCCTGCTCTTCCTGGTCCTCCTGTTCCTCCTGCTCCTCCTGCTCCTGCTCCTCCTGCTCCTGCTCCCCCTGCTCCTGTTCCTCCTGATCTGTTCCTCCTGCTCCTGCTCCTCCTGCTTCTGCTCTTCCTGCTCCTCCTGCTCCTCCTGCTCCTGTTCCTTCTGCTCTGCTCCTCTTCTTCCTCCTCCTGTTTCTCTTCTTGCTCCTCCTCCTTTTCCTCTTCCTCATTTTCTTTCTTTTTTCCCTTATCCTTTCCTTTCCCTTTCTTTTCCTCTTCTTCCTCTTCCTCTTTTTCCTCTTCCTCCTCCTCCTCTTCCTCCTATACCTCTTCCTTCTTTTCTTCCTCCCTTTCCTCCTCCTTTCTCTCCTCTTCCCCCTCCCTCTCGTTCCCCTTTTCCTCTTTTTCTCTTTTTCTTACTCTTCCTCCTCCTCTTCCCCCATTCCTCTTTCTTCTCTTCCTCTTCCTCTTGCTGTTCCTCCCCTTTCCTCCTTGGTCCTCCACATTTTCCCTGCTTGCCCCTCTGAGCTCCATCTCCCCCAGCCCAGATCACCAGCCCATACACACTAAGCCCCAATTCACCCTCTGTTCCTACTTCTAGAATGCTGCTCCCACCCTAACTGGCCAAACTGTATTCATCCTTCAAGGCCCACCCTGCCCTCCCTGTACCCCTACCACTCAGAAGAACTCCTTGACTGATGCTATACTTCCCATCTGCTTCCACACACAGGGACAGAGGGAGGCACCAAGGCCCAGAGTGGGGACTGGACATCAGAAGAGGATTGGGCTAGGCCTGTCGGTGGCCTCTTAGCTCCTGGATGGATGTTACCTTAGCTTAACTGAGTTCTGGGTGGGAGAGTAGACAGGTCTGACCCCTACCTTGGCCCACCCCAGCTCTGAAGAACTTACAAGTCAGCCTTGACGAAGCCTTTCCCTTCAGTATCAAACACCTTGAAGGCATGCAGAATGGTCTCCTCTGGGTCTGTGCCTAGAGGCAGCACATACAGAGAGAATGGAAAGGCAGTGAGGGACTGTCACAGACAGGTGCCAGGCTAGACAAGCACTGGGGAGAAGGTTCTATGACTCCCAATTCCCACTTCACTGGAGGCAGGAGCTAGGGAACCTGTATGGCCTGCATACATTTGGTTGTGAATAACCTGCTCCACTGTACATGGACACCCTGACAGAACATTTAGTATGTTCTTCATTCTCCTAACAATTGTCCATTTTATAGATGAAGAAACTTAGGCTCAGAGAGGTTACCTGGCTTGTTCAGGGTCCCAAAGCAGATACTACTAAATGATCCTGAGGTCTGGGGATGAGGGCAGCAGCTTTAGAGTTACTTGTGACTCAAGAGGCCTGGATATTTAGGTCCATCGTGGGCTAGAGGCGTAGCCCAGTGGTAGAGCTTCTGCCTAGAATTCCCCAGTGAGGGGTTGGAGGGTGTGACTCAATGGTAGGTCACCAGGTTAGAATCCTCCAAAGAGGGCCTGGGAGTGTGGTTCAGTGGTAGAGCACCTGCCTAGAATCCCCCAGCAAGGGACTGGGATGTGGCTCGGTGGTAGAGCACCTGCCTAGAATCCTCCAGTGGGGGTTGGGTGCAAAACTCAGTGGAAGAGTTTGGCTAACATGTGAAAGGCCTTAGGTTCTATTGTCAGCACAAAAGAGCCCCAAGCTCCATGCCTGGAACTTCACCTCTTGATCATCAGGCCATCTGTGTTCCCCCCATCTTACAAAGTCAGGGATCTCTAATCAGACTGTGCCAGACCCCTGTTTCCCTTGTCTGAAATGAGAGCTTTTGGGATGGGAAGCAATGGCCCCGCTGAACAGGGGGCTGGAGCTGGTGTTGCTCAGCCCAAGTGGGCTTAGTGGCAGAGTGAGGGGGCAGCCCTACGCTAGTGAGGCTGGAGGAGTGCAGGGGTCAAGTTAGGTGCTGGCTGGAGTCTCTGCTTTCAAGACCACAGCCTCCCCAATTTGAATTCATCAATTGGCTGAAAGCCCCAGTGTCTCTCTAGAGCCCTGGAAACTGCAACTGGTCTGCTTCTATACCCCACTGCCTCCCTAGGGACCAGGACTTGGATTTGGTTAGCTCTGGCTCAGTTCTGGGACACGCACCTTGGTTGGCCACTCCCTGCCCACTCCCTAGAGATGACCCTCTGCTCAGCGGCCTAGGATCCTCATAAAAACCCTTCAGAGTGGCTGCCTGCCACTGTGGGGAATCAGAGGACAGTCTCCTTGTCTCAATCAACTGCCAGCAGGATGCCCATCCCAGCCTCCTGCTTTCCCTTCTTGCTGGCCTCTCACGCAGCCTTAGACAAGTTTGTGTGACAGGCTCAGCTGGGCCCCAGGCCTGACAAAGATGAGAACAAGCTATAGTACCAGGGCCCTGGGTCAGCACTGACTCAGCACAGACAGACACAGCCTTCTGCCTTCGTTTCCTCATCTGCAAAGCAAGCTTGGGGGCATCAAGGGCACTAAAAGTGCCCTTCCCATGAGAGCCCAAGAGTCCCAGCTAAATTCCCCTTCTCCCCAAGGCAATAGTCACTCCAAGCCCTACCACTGAGCCACACCCCCAGCCCCTCGCTGGGGGGATTCTAGGAAGGTGCTCTACCACTGAGCAACACTCCCAACCCCTCACTGCTCTACTTAAAATACCAAGGTGCAAAAATCAGAATTAGACAAGCCCACCTAAGGTCATCCTGAGGCATGAGGGAGACCAAGAGTAGCCAGTGGCAGTCTGAGGGGAGGATGACAGTGTACCTACCTCCTGGGGCAGCCATAGGCAAGTCTGGCCCTTTTAACCACAGAACCTTCTAGCTCAGGGATGTGTTTATTGGGAAGATCCCAGGACAAGGAGAGAGGAGACAGAGATGGCTCCGTCTTCCAGGCCTGGTGCTGTGTGTGTGTCTCATGAGTAGAAGTGGGGTCTAGATTGGAGTTCTTTTCAAGTTTTTTTTTTTTTTGATGAGTCACCTGGGACAGGTGTCATGACCACTCTGAGCCTCCTCTGACTCCTCATTGGTGAAAATAGCTCCTTGAGTCTCTCCTTGGGGACCACCGTGACTACATAATAGGGGTAAATAACCTGTCTAACAAAGGGGTCAGCCAGAAATTCTTTCCCTCTTTGCACCAGTCTGCCTGCCCCTCACCATCAAGAAAGGGCAGAAAGGCAGGGCAGGTAGGTAGAAGGGGGAAGTGAGAGAAAAAGTGAGGCACAGCAGGCAAATAGAAAAAGGAAATGGGTGTGAGAGAGAGACAGAGCAGGCAAGTAGAAAAGGAAAATATGAATAGAGAAGAGGTGGTGGATGTTATGCCTTTACAGTGACCATCACTGAGCATGCAGAAGTGGAAACTGAGGATGGTGTGGCATCCCGGGGCTAGTGTCTGGGGACCACACCATGTTCCTGTCTGTGGTTATGTAAAGGTCAGGGCCAGGCAGGTGAGCATATCTGTATCCTGCCCCCAGACCTCCAAGAGCCTCACTCACCCTTGAGTTTCTCCCCAAACATGGTCAGGAAGACAGTGAAATTGATGGGCCCTGGGGCCTCCTTTACCATGGCATCTAACTCTTCATTCTTAACATTTATCCGACCTAGAGGAGGGAGAGGGAAAAGAATGTAACAGGCCCAGAGGGATGCTGCCAACCAGAAGTCAAGGAGGGCCCTGGAGCAGCTCCTGGCTCTGCCGTTCAACCTACCCCCTGCTTGGCCCTATCCATCTTTTAGGGGGGCTTTCAGGGAACACTAGAGTCTATAGGCTAATAGGATTGCCCTCTTCATCCCCCCCATCTCTCTCCCAGTCTTCCTAAAACACAGAATAAGCCACTCTTCATCCCCCTTTCCACAAATAAAGAAATAGGCTTGAAGAAGTGGAGATGGAGGTTCATAGGGGGCCTTGGGCCTCATGCGTTCTGGAACTGAGGACTCTGGGATTCTGCATGGTCTCTGTGGACACTCAGGTCCCCAAGCACTCAAAGCTCAGCCTTTATTAGTGCTTTACTTAAGCATCCCTGGCTCCTCCCCAATTCTAACTCTACTGTTTTATCTTGTTTAGTTTGAGACAGGATTTTTTGCCATGAACACAGGCTGACTTTGAAATGGAAATCCTCCTGCCTTAGCTTTGAAAGTACTGGGATTGCAGGCACATACCACCCACATCCCTACACTCTTTTGACCTCTCACTACCCCAGGGCCTTTGCACAAGCTGGTACTGATCTCCTAGCCACCAAGTCTTCTTCTCATATTGGGGAACCTCTCCCTCCTCTGTATCCCTCAGCTCCCAAGTCCCCAACTCACTGTCCCTGCCTTGGCCTGCTCTCCACATCCATCCACTCTTGCTTAGCTCTCTCCACCCCAAGCCCCACGTTTTCCCAGTTTCCCCATCACCCACCAAGTGCAGCAAAAGTGTCCCGCAGGTCCTCCTTGTCAATAAAGCCATCCCGGTTCTGGTCCATGATAGTGAAGGCCTGATGGAGACATGGGCCCTGAGCCACCTCCCCTGCAGTCCAGCCCCGCAGTCCAGCCCCACAGCCCAGCCCCTGCAGCCTTCCCTTCAGGAGCAACTCAGCGGCCTCCCACCACCCAACTCCCCAGCTTAGCTTAACATGCTCTGCATCCTGGTAACTGTAGTCCACCCTCTCTGAGAGCCTGTGGTGCTGCAGGACTCCATAAACATTCCCTCGGTTCAAGAGCACAGAGACCCAGATGGAAAAAGTGTGGTGAGAGAGGGCAACTCTCTGAGAGAGGAGGCTCAGAGAGGAAACTGAAGCTCAGAGAGGCAAACTGAGGCTCAGAAAGAGCTAGGCCTTTCTGGAGGTCACACAGCAAGTATAGGCCCAGGTACAGAGAGAGAGAGCAACAAGACACCTCTCCAGGCACGGAGGCAGCCACGGTGATGTTGAAGAACGACAGTGTGGGAAACCATTGTGTGCTTCTTGAATAACTTCCATGCACTCTGATAACCCTTCTGTGTTGGTCCATCTTTATTGTAAACTTGACTGGGTTTAGAATCACTATAGGAACACATCTCTGGGCATGTCTGAGGGAGTTTCTGTTAACTGAGGAGGAAGACCCACCCTGACTGTGGGCAGCACCATCCATGGGCTGGGGTCCTGACTGGATAGAAAGGAGAAAGTGAGCTGAGCACCAGCATTCATCTCTCTCTGCTTCCTGACTGGATGACATGTGACCAGCTGCCTCCCACTCCTGCCACCATGCCTTCCCACCATGATGGACTGCAGCCTTAGACTTATAAGCCCAAATATACCTTTTGTCCCCCAAGTTGCTTTTGTTAAGTATTTTGTCACAGCAATGAGGAAAGTAACTGATACATCCCCCCATGGTCCCCCTGGGGCCACTGACTAACCTCTTTAAACTCTTGAATCTGAGATTGATCAAACATTGAGAAGACATTGGAGCTGGCTGTGCCTTCTGCTCTCTTCCGGGCTCTTCTGGGTGCCTATAGGGGAAAAGGTAAGGCTTTGCAGTGATGCTTCCTCCAGAGTTCAGTGGTCACCAGAGCCAGGCCACAAGTCCTAGAGCTTCATGGTCCTGGGTACCACAGTCCACCCTCCCAATTCCCATAGTAGCCACCCAGAGCTCCTGACAAAGTCTTATAAATAGTCATGATAGTTAATTTGTCAGCTTGTCAAGAGCTAGAATCACTGTGGAAACAAACCTCTGGGTAGGCCTGGGAGGGGTTTCTAGATCAGGTTAACTGAGGAGGGAAGACCCACCCTGAATGTGGGCAGCACCATCCCATGGGCTGGGATCTTGGACTGAATAAAAAGGAGAAAGTGAGCTGAGCACCAGCATACATCTCTCTCTGCTTCCTGACTGTGGATGCCATGTGAGCAGCTGCCTCACACTCCTGCCGCCATGCCTTCCCACCATGATGCCCTCAAACTGTGAGCCACATAAACCCTTCCTTCAATTGTTTTTGTCAGGTATTTTGTTCCAGCAATGGGAAAAGTAATTAATAGAGATGGTAGAAAGTATTTCTCAGTTGAGGCAAGGAGTTTGCAGTGTCCACTATGCAGGGCTGGGCAGTTGCTCCTGACCTGGCACCCGCCCCAGTCCAGGCTCCCAAAGACGGTGGGGCCACAACTGCTCTGCTACTCAGAATGGGCACTTCTCTAGCCTCAGTCCCCATGTGGGGCTTCCTAATCCCACCCCTGCCACCTTCCACTCAGCTGGAATCTGGCCTTGTTGTCAAGCTGCTAAAAAACTTCCAGAGTATTCTCCACATGGTGTCGGGGTTCTTCACCCCATAAGATCTATTCCTGGACAAGATCTCAGCTATTTCTCTCACTTGAGTCCCCTGCTCACTCCAAATCCACTTTGAGCTGCCTTCTACCTCAATACCTGTTCTTGTCACTCCAGAATGCTTCTGTGTGTGTGCATGCATGTGTGTTCTTGTGTATGGATGTGCACATGCATGTGTGCACATGTGTGGGTAGAGGACGGAGAACAATCTCAGGTTCAGTGTTTAGGAATGTTCATCTTTTTTTTAAAGACAAGATCTCTCACTGTCCTGGAACTCACGGTAAGCTAGCTGAATGGCCAGTGAGCCCCAGGAACCCACCTCTCTCCCCATCCCCACCATTGGGATTCTAAGCATGAGCCACCATGCCCAGCTTTTATACATGGATTCTGAGGATGTAACTCAAGTCTTCATGACTTCAAGATAAGGTCTTTATCAGCTGAGCCATCTCCCCAATCCCCAAACACTTTGTGAGACAGACTCTCCTTATATATAGCCCAGTCAGGCTTTGAGCTCACACTCCTCCTGCCTCTCCCTTCTGAGTGCTGGCTGGGATGACAGGTGTGTGCCACTATTCCCAGGCTCTTGGCTGTCTTGTTTGCTCCTCCAAGAAGTTTTCCCTGACCCCAGGCTGTTCCCCATTCCTGAACCATCACCACTACAGTATGTGCCACACTGCCTGGCTATTCCCTCCCTGTCTCCCTCTGGACTTAAGTAGAAACCTCAAGGTTGAGACCCACTGGGTCCCATCCCTGCCTGGACTTGGCCTGGAGCTGGGATCACCTCAAGTTTAGAAACAACTGCCCAGAACCCATGTCCCTCCTGCGTAGCATGTGGAATCATGGAGCCAGGGTCTGGACTTCTTGCTTCTAGATGTTTTCTGTAGAATATCCTGGTGCCAGAGCCTCCCCACACTAGGCTTTCACTGAATGTTCTATGTCCATGTCCTCAGAGCTCCTGAGGCATTGTTTCCTAGCAGCTATTATGGTCCCCAAGCTCAGGCTAGTGAGTCCCCAAATTGACTTGTGTGCGTGTGTGTGTGTGTGTGTGTGTGTGTGTGTGTGTGTGTGTCTTCATGTATGTACATAAATGTGTGGAGACCAGAGGACATCCTTGGGTTTCATTCCTCAGGTGCTTTCATTTATTTATTTATTTATTTATTTATTTGTTTGTTTGTTTGTGTGTGTGTGTGTGTACATGTGCCACAGCATACATATGGAGGTGAGAGAACAATTTGCAGGTGTCAGTTCTCCCCTTCCACTGTGTGGGTCCCGGGGATTGAACTCAGGTGATCAGGCCTGGCAGCAAGCGCCTTTACCCACTGAGCTATCTCACAGGCCCCTAAACTGACGCATGACATAAGAGGGGAACAAAAGTCTGGGCTCAGGACCACTAGCCAGCCAGCAACCTCCTCTCTTGCCAAGCCCTGTCTAGTCTCTGACCCCAGCTGGGGCTTCTCTGCTCCTACCCCAGCGCCTGTGTGGTCTCCCTTCACTTCCCCAGAGCTCTGGAGCCCATGTCAGAAGCCACAGTGCCCATCGACTTATAATTAGCTTTCACTGGGCACTTGTCTCCAGTAATCCTTTGAAAGTGGGGCTGGCAGAGAGGCCACCCCATGAGGATGCTGGAAGCTTCTGTAATATTTATAAATCTCTTTATAAAAGAAAGAACTCCCCTGCAGAGTTCATCTCGCGTAATTACATATACATTTTCCTCTGATTAATAAAAAATGATCACTTCCGTCTGAAGGATATGCATCCCTATCTCAGGACTGCCTTCCGCCTCAGCACCCCCCATACACACACATACACACACACACGTGCATGTGCCCCCTACTTCGTAGCCTGTCAAGTCCCCCTAGTTACACTCCCTCCTGGACTCTGGAGCTCTGCGAGTCAGGAATGGTTCATCTCTTATCCTGCTGCATAAAAGGCAAACAGCCAGATATCTGGGAACATCCTTGGAAAGAGACAGTCGCCCAGACCAAAGTTTTTATCCTGGCTTGCCTCAGTGAGGATGAGAAACACGGATATATGCCTGAGGGATGGCTCAGTGGGTAAGAGTGCTCACTGAACTCAGAAGGACCTGTGTTTGAATCCACAGCACTCCTAAAAATCTGGTTGTAGCTATACACATGCCTGTAACTCCAGTGCTGGCTAGGGGGTGGGGTGGAGACAGGAGGATTGCTGGGGTTGCTGGCTGTCAGCCTAGCTTTAAGTCTAGTGAGCAATCCCGTCTCAAGGGAAATGGTGGAAAGTGATGGAGCAGGATATCCCATATCCTTCTCAGGCCTCTGTATGTGTGCACAGGCATGTACACTCACATATACCACACACACCCCCATACAAAAAAGACAGAGTCTACTGGGTGTGGTGACGCATGCCTTTAGTCCCAGCACTTGGGAGACAGAGGCAGGTGGATCTCTGTGAGTTTGAGGCCAGCCTGGTCTGCATAGTGAGTTCCAGGCCAGCTACGGCTACAGGGAAACCCTGTCTCAAAAAGACCAATGTGTGTGTGTGAGAGAGAGAGAGAGAGAGAGAGAGAGAGAGAGAGAGAGAGAGAGTTTTCAAGTTTAATTTCCTACTTATATTCACTTTTTTTTTTGAACACAGAGTCTCATGTAATACAGGGTAGCTTTGAACTCATTATGTAGCCAAGGATGACTTTGAACTTCTGATCCTCCTGCCTCTACCTCCCAAGTGCTGAGATTACAGGAGTGTGCCACCACTCCCAATTCATGTCTTGCTTGGGATGAAACCCAGGGACTCGTGCATGCTAGGCAAGCACTCGTGTACCAACTGAGCTGTATCCCAGCCCTTCCCCATTTATAAACCAAGAGTAATACCTGCCTTGAAGCAGGTATTATAAACATAAAACACGTGCTGACCTCCATTCAGATTCTGGTCTGGTCCCCAGGACTCTGAGCTGAATCAGGCCCTGTCCTGTCCCCAAACAGCTCAGAGTCCTGTAGGAGATAGGCCACTAATAGAGGGCAATGGAGGGATAAACAGGTGCTGAGTCACAGGGGGCTGGAACACAGGACAGGTGTGAGCCTCAGGACCCAGGAAGGGCGCCACACCTCCAGCATGCTGGAATACAAGCCCCTGAACCCCTACAGGAACCTCATTCTCTTAGTCAGAACACAGCCCAGATTCTACTTTGACGCCTATCAGGCGAGGTCACTCATCTCCCTCTTACCTTCCTCTTCCCCACAACTTTACCACAGCAGCCCCCATCAAATCAAAACACACCCAAATCAGAACCCACGGGGATGAGAGGCTGAGGAGATGGCTCAGCCTGTAAAATGCTTGCCATGCATGCAAGCATGAGGATCTGAGTTCCATCCCTCAGAACCCACATATGAAGGCAGATGTCACCTCTACTCCCAGTTCTGGGGAGGAGAGAGAGGGATCCCTAGGGCTCACTGGTTAACCAGCCTAATGCAGTCAGAGAACTCCAGGTAAAACACTGAGAGACTGTGTCTCAAAAACAAAACAAGGTAGAGGCTGGAGAGATGGCTCTGTGGATAAGAATACATACTGTTCTTCTAGAGAACCGAGGTCAATTCCCAGCACCCATGTTGGCTGCTTACAACTGCCTGTAACTCCAACTTTAAGGAATCTGTGGATGCTGCACTCACGTGTGCAAACCCAAACACATATACACATAATTAAAATAATAATAATTTTTTTTGGTCTTTTTGAGACAGGGTCTCCCTGTAGCCACAGCTGGTCTGGATTCACTATGGAGACCAGGCTGGCCTCAAACTTACAGAGATCCACCTGCCCTTGCCTCCTGAGTGCTGGGATTAAAGGTGTGTTCCACCACATCTGGCTAATAAAAATAAAATTTGGGGGGGTTCTTTTTGAGACAGGGTCTCCCAGTAGCCCCAGCTGGCCTGGAACTCACTATGTAGACCAGGCTGGCCTCAAACTCACAGAGATCCGCCTGCCTCTGCTTCCTGAGTGCTGGGACTAAAGTCGTGCACCACCACACCTGGCATAATAAAATATTTTTAAGAAAAACAACAAGGTGGATGGGACCTAAGGAACAATACCAAAGGTTGACTTTTGGCTTTCACATGCACATGCACACACAAAATAACCCACATGGATGAGACTGGTCACCTATCAGGGGCAGACTAGGTAGACCAAGTTCAAGTATCAAAGTCAGATCATGCACATCTTCAAGGCAAG